AAATCAGTTCACAATTACTTCCTTAAAGGTATTTCACATGTGGTTGTCAGGCTGAGTCACCTGGGCATTTTGGGTTTCCTGGACACACTGGCAAGGTCACCACTGGAAAAAGGATGCTGAGCTAGAGAGACCCTTGATAAGTTCCAACAGGACTCTAGTTATATTATTGATTATGCCAGCACCACTAGGTATTTTCCATCCCTGTGCAGTTAGAGCTGCTCTGCCATGCCGCAATCATCACTACTCAGGGTACATTTGCTATGCTGCTGCTGTTGTAAATGTGTAACTTGTGAAAGGTGCATGCAAAACCTTACACGAGGCCTCTATCAGGGGCTTTGGACTAATCTGCTGCTCTAGGTACTTAAGGACATGTCACTCACATTTCACATGCTTGCTGCATGAAATACTAGTCACATATACCCATGGAAACTAATGCATAGAGCTCATCTATGATGCACCAACTTAGCAGAAAGCCAGAAACAGCCCACATTCATACTGGATGCACCTGGGCAGTGTTCAAAATTAGTCAGGCGGCAGGTGCAGGTTGTATCTGGCTATCAACCACTTGTGACCAAGTGAAGATGCCTAGCAGCCAGGATGGCACCTGTCGTCTCCGCCATCTGGAGGTGCATCTTGGGAATCATTGGATTTGGATCTGGACTGTTCTCACATGCTAATACCCCATGCTGTAGAATGCTTTCAGTTATACTTTATCTGTACAATTAGGAATGAATTTCTGGAACCATAATGCTGAGTTTCTAACACTGCACCTGCACATTAGGAAGGTCTGGACCCTTGCTAGTTATTGCTTGACAAATCACAGCACACTGCATTCCATCCCCCAGCACCATTTCACAGTCCACCAGAACCTAGCCTCCTTGCATCTCAAAAGGTAACAAAATCAGAGAAGCAAGAAAATGATAGGTGATTTTCAACTGTCTGCTTTAACTTTGTTCTTAAACCAAATTAAAAAGCAGTGCACAAGGCTAACCTTTGCTTCAGCTGGCCCAAGAGCCCAGAAAACAGCTGTAGCACTTCATCCAATGGGTGAAAGACCAGCTGGCTTAAAGAGCTGCCCTGAGAAATGAAAACTCTGGAATCACTGACATTTACGCCCTCCTTGTACACAAAACCTCCTAAGCATGAAAGGGAAGTTAAACAAAGCCACTATGAAGCACAACCGCCCATAGGCAGAACACTGCACCTTCCTCCAAGGAAGGAGGCAACAGTCAGCAGCTATCCAGAATGAGTAGGAATAAAGAGCAGCAAACAGTTTAACACCAGTCAGAACCAGGACACCTCAAACCATCCTTTTGCTCAGGCACCTAAGAGTTCAAAACCTTCTACAGCTCCATTAAGAGCTAACACAAAACAGGAACCTAAACAGTTAACCACCTTGGGAGCCTGTGAGGATGAATAGTGGCATCTAAGTTGGAAAAATAAAACATGAAGGTTTTTCAAGTCCATAAACTGATTTGAGCTCAAGTTATTCAACTGACACAACTGATTCCAATTCTCTCTGATCTAGGCAGCAGTTTAGTGATCTGCTGATGGGCTCACACAGAGCCATAGTATTTTCCCAGTGAGAGCGAGAGAGTCCACAGAGGAAGTATTTTACCTCACATGCAGACCGAGAGCTGAATCATGCAGAACACTCCACAAAGAAGATCTCAGGCAAAGATTTCCCTCTTTCAAAATGTCTCTTGCATGCCTGCTGGCCTCTGCTGTAGTCTGCTCTCTCAGTGATGTAAATAGGAAGGCATGCAGAGCAATAGGCGATATGTAAATTCATCAGGAAAATCCCCTACCAACCTCAGCCAATCATCTAGCACTTCCTCATTCCCAACAGGCTTCAGCCAAGAAAGGGAAGCCCTCCTTACTCATAGAAGGGCAAGTGTTTCTTTTTTTAAAAACAACAAAAAACACCCATCCATTTGAACATATCAAGGTTTTTTTAAAAAGCAACCCATGAAATACATTATTGCAGCCTGCAAACTTAAGGCTGAAACAGTAAGTTGCTGTAACACTTGTCCTAAACTCAAGGAAGTCCACCGTAAAAATTATAAAATCAGAATCTCATAAAAAGACTAAGGCTGTGTACCCACTGTACATTTAAAGCACATCACTGGTCCCACACCTGATAGGAAAAAAAAATCAAGGGAGCTATAGTTTGTTATGGGTGCTGAGAATTGTAGCCCTGTGAGTGCAACAGTGCCCAGGATTCAGGGGTGAGGATTAAATGTATGGTGTGCAGGCAGACTTAGAGCAGGAGTGGGTAACTTATGACCCTTCAGATAGTATTGGACTCCAAACCCCATCAGCCTCAGTCAGCAAGGAATGATGATAATTGTAGTGAAACAATATCTGGAGGGTCACAGGTTCTCCAACTCTGAAGTACACTGCAAAGGCCCTCCAAATCGGGGGGGGGGGGTGTTTGCTGCAGGAGTGCTTTGTGTGCCACCTGCCTTGAAAGAGATTCTGGTGTGCCCCACCTTAGCACTCAGAAGTGTTAAATAACTACTGTCCAGTCACAAATACAGTGGTACCTCGGGTTAAGTACTTAATTCGTTCCGGAGGTCCGTACTTAACCTGAAACTGTTCTTAACCTGAAGCACCACTTTAGCTAATGGGGCCTCCTGCTGCTGCTGCCGCACCACCAGAGCACAATTTCTGTTCTCAACCTGAAGCAAAGTTCTTAACCTGAAGCACTATTTCTGGGTTAGCGGAGTCTGTAACCTGAAGCGTATGTAATCTGAAGCGTATGTAACCCGAGGTACCACTGTAGTTACAAACTTAATTCATTCTGGAGGTCCGTTCTTAACCTGAAACTGTTCTTAACTAGAGGCGTGCTTTTGCTAATGGGGCCTCTTGCTGCCACTGCACACGATTTCCGTTCTCATCCTGGGGCAAAGTTCTCAACTCGAGGTAACTCTTCCAGGTTAGCCGAGTTTGTAACCTGAGGTGTTTGTAACTCGAGGTACCACTGTACTCACTTCTTGGACAGGGTGCCTGAGAAGGCAGTGGCAATCCAGCTGCAGGCCCTTGTATGGATCAGACACTGCCTTGGTTGCCCTGAAGTAGTTGTGTGCCCAAATGGACTGCCATCCCAATCAGCACCAACATTAAATATATATATATATTTAAAGCAAGTATGGTCAGGATTCAAGTCTGTGGAATCTACTCTGTTTTTTAACATCTAGATCCCTGAGATCTGCTAAATGTAACCTGGTGTGAAGGACCAGAATTAAAGAAATCTGAGCCTCCAAATTTAATTAGAATACCAAAGGTGGTGGGGGGACCGCCAGTCCTCATTCTGATTACCCTCCCCCAACAAAGCTTTCTTCATTTCACTATTATAATGTGGGGTTGCATTTTGCTACAGTTATTAAAGTTTATAGTTATTATATTACATTATAGGGAAAAGGAGTTTATTTTATTCTAACATATTATATATTACGTACCTGCCAATCTACAAGAAATTGCTCAGAGACCTACCAGAAATTTCAATATGCTTTCTGCCCACTGATTTAAAGCATTTTTGTAGTGCTCTTCAACAACAACAAAACAACAAAACCCCTCTAGAACAGCTTATATACAATAAGTTAAAATAAGACAATTCACACCCACAGGCTTACAATCCAAGCCAGGACACACAAGGAAAGGGCACAAGAAGAGAATAAACAAGCAAACTTGGGCACCAATTCTTGAAGACAGCATTATACAGACATGCTAGACGGGGCTGATGCATTGGTCAAAGATTGAGGGATTCAAAGCCCTACTTAACCGTGTACACTGCAATGTGACCTTGGAGCCAGTAACTATCTTTCATCCTAACCTACCTTACAGGGTTGTTGGGTACAGAAAAAGGGAGGAGCGGGGAGGATGGACAACAATGACAAAGAATACGATACAACAACAACAACAACAACAACAAATGGAGGGGCAGTCAAAAATATATATATTCTGCCATATATATTGCAGTATGTATATGTGTGTGTGTATACTGTATATATATAATCTCAATATCCTTATTATGCTAAAAAGGACGTAGTAAATGAATAATGCTACCTTAGCCTAACCTACCTCACAGGGCTGTGGTGAGGATAAAATGCATTTGGGGGTATGAAAAAGCCACGTATACCGTCTTGAGCTCCTTGAAGAGATATAGAATATGATGATGATGATGATAATAATAATAATAATATTTTTTCCCCCTCAGCACCTGGAGGGGCGCCCGCCTCAGCAGGCCCCTCCCCCTCGCCACCCACAGGCCCCGCCCCTCGCGCTCTCACCTGACGCGGGGGAGTGGCGGGGGGAGGAGGCGGCCGGCCCAAGCGCGGCCCCCCGGCACATGGTGGCTCCCCCGCCTTCTCCCAGCCAGAGTCCAGCTCCTGCACCGCCAAGCGCCTGGTTGTCTGCTCCCCACCTCTGGGCCTCCCAGCAAGCCGGGCCGGAAATGACGATCACGCGTTGCTCGCCGCTCAGGCTGCCGGGATTCGTGGTTTTTTCCTCCCAGTGCAGCTCTTCACCGAAATTCCTCTTTTGCGGCCTGCGGCCTACAGTTCCCATGAGCGCCTGCTCCAGCGGCGGGTCGCGCGACCCTTCCGGCTGCTTTTTTATTGGTCTCGCTGAGAAGGCCTCCGTCTACTCCCCACCTTGATTTCTTTTGCTTCTATGGCTGTGCCGACTTTGAGTCACGTTAGGCTTATCCAATCAAATGTCCCGAGAGAGAATGATAGCGGCGGGGGGAGGGAGCAATGGCGTGAAGTTGTAGACTGCGCGGGCCAGTGGAAAGAGAGTCTGTAGGTGGAGGAAGACGATTGGCTGCAGAAGGTCGTGCGACAGGGCAACGCAATTGGCTAGCGTCCCTGAGCCAATTGGGAAGTGGGGCGAGTTTATAAAAGCCGATTCCACGAGCTCGCGCGTTCTTTTTCCCGCTTGCGCTCGAACTGTTGACGGTAAGGTTTGCTTTACTCGGGCGGAAAGGCCTGTTTCTAGGTCTATAGTGGTTAGTCTCGCTTGACCCAACAGCAGAACATTCCAAAAGGGGCACAAGTCACGTGTGAACAGGCGCAGTTGTGTTTTTTATTTAAAATGTTTTATATTTATTTAAGACCTGTTGAAAGCTTTGGAATATTACGAAAATGCTGTAAGGAATGGGAAACCTCGTCCTGGTGTAGAATTGCAGTCACTGTTAGTTCTACCCAGAGTAAAAGGTAAAGGGACCCCTGATCGTTAAGTTCAGTCATGAACGACTCGAGGGTTGCAGTGCTCCTCTCGCTTCTGGCCGAGGGAGCCGAAGTTTGTCTGCAGAGTTTTTCCGGGTCATGTGGCCAGCATGACTAAGCCGCGTCTGGCGAACCAGAGCAGCGCACGGAAATGCCGGTTACCTTCCCGTCGGAGCGGTACTTATTTACCTACTTGCACTTCGGCGTGCTTTCGAACTGCTAGGTTGGCAGGAGTCTACTCAGAGTAGACCCATGGTAATTAATGGACAGGGCAGTCTTCGGTCTAGTAATTTCTATAGCTATGCTCTGAGTGGGATTGACACTGGATGACACCCATAGTTTTTTAATCCCCACGTGTCAGTTTGTATGTTTATACCCTGGTCCAGGGTCACCTAGTGAAGTTCATGGCTGAGCAGGGTTTGCACCCAGTCTGCAACATTACTTAGTTGAGATCTTATCCAGGCCACTAGATAGTTACATGGCCCAAAATTATGAAATTGGTCCCCAAATCCAGGTTTATATTATGAAAAAGTTAAAAGACCACTATTTTAACTGCTAGATCTCTCACAATTGGTGATAGGGTGAATTGATTTTTCTGGTAGCAGGGCCAGAAAGGAGACAATGCGTTTACCTGTTTGTATGAGTTAATGAAAGTTAGAACTTTGAAGGAGGTGGTAAAACCTCTCGTTCATGCCTCATAGTTCTCATGGAATGGGTGATCTGCTTTAGATCCTGCAAAGGACCCTTTACGTTTCAGAAAGGGAGGATCTTGCAACCTCTTGCTGATGCAAATCCTTCTCCGGCAGCATAGCAGGACAGTCATATCAATGTTGAGTGTTGGGCCAGTTCATTTTATGTGTAGGTCTCCAGTCTGGTTTAAGGCTTTGTTGAGGCCTCCTTCCCTTGGTTTTTTTTTCCTACCTGTGAGAAGCATTTGTTTCTGAGTGTGGCTAGGATGATTACAGAATTCTTCAAGGCATCTGGTTGGCCACTCTCGGAACGGGATGCTGGACCCCCTTTGACCAGGTCCAGCCCCTGGGGTCCTTGTTAAGGCCTCCTCCTTTACCTTTCCAGGTGTGTTTGCTGCCACTGAATGATATGAACCCAGTAGATAGGGAGGAGCCTAAACTGTGATTTTGGAAAATCTGTGTGGGTAATCTGTTAGGCCCATCAGACAGCAGCCGATGATGAGCTCTTAATTTTCTGACACCTCGTATGAAAACTGGTTGCAGTTTACTGATTACGAGCACGAGCTGAGGCTTAAAAGCTGGTTTCAGAGGGGCACCTTCCTTTCAAACTAGAACCTTGTTCCTGTCTGTTTTGAAAACAAAATGTATTATTGGCACTTTATTCATTCTTTCTTTTTAATTTTCTTCAGGAAGCACACGGGAGAAGAGAAGAGACTATGTTGGTATCAGAAGTGATCTAGCAGGACACTGGGTTGTGCCAGGCCTTTGTGGTGAGTTTTTGACCTTCATCCAAGAAAATTTACCAGACACACTTTTCATTGTGCACTTTACGCATAAGTAGACCTAGAGGGTGCTCCTTGGATGAATAGCCCCAAATTTTAGCCTGTTACTAGTTACAGTTTTCCTTTTGGGGAAAAAAACAAAAAACCTGCAACATAAAATGTCCCAGAAATACATTGAGTTTTTGCCATTGGGATGCATTTACTACCCCAGCCAATGTTAGTGCATTGAGATAACTGTATTATTCCATTGTTTTTCTCATAGGAAAATGGCCAGCAAACAGAATATGTGGAGTGCCAATAGGTTGGCACAAACCTAATTCAGGTGTGTTGAATTTTTCAACTTTCAAATTCAAAAAATGAGGGGTGCTAAAAGTTGCAACATGACTTGGGAATTCTAAAAATATTTTGGTTGAATTAATATAATTTAGTTTTGCTTGCTAAATAAGTACAGTCATACCTCGGGTTAAATGTGCTTCAGGTTGAGCGTTTTCAGGTTACGCTCTGCGGCGACCCGGAAGTAACGGAAAGCATTACTTCCGGGTTTTGCCGCATGCGCAGACGCTCAAAATGATGGATCCCATTCACATCGAGGTACCACTGTACATACAAACATTTTTAACATTTGTGTGGAATTCAACTTAATTTTAAATTTGTCTTGTTTTAAAAAAATGTGTAAAATTGCATAAACATTTAAATAATTGTCAAGTACTTGCAGTTATATATTGATTTTATTTTTTATTTATATACTATACATATTTTTATATTGAATTGTATATTACAGTTAAACACGTATATAATTCACTAATGTGCTGTAGCTGTATTTGCTTGTTTCACAGATTGAAGAATTTTCATCATTGTGTTAAAAATTTCTTGTCAGTGCTGCATCTGCTGCTGCTACTACTACTACCGTCTTAACCAGTGGGAATTGACCTTCAATGGATTCTAACCAGAGAACAAGTCTTGGGACATCCACTCACGTGAGCAATCTAATTGGAACTGGCAGAGAATTGTTGCCCTCTGAACTCCCAACTCTGCGAGACGTTATGAGGTATGGGCTGCAGCTAAGAGAACAAATTGGTGAGGGGGGCTGGGCGATGTATCAGTACAGTGGTGCCTTGGTTTACGATCTTACTCTGTTCTGGAAGTCTATTCTTAAGCCAAGGTGTGTTTTCACATAGCAGCAGGGACTCAATTTACAAATGGAACACACTCAACAAGAAGTGAAGCATGCTCTTATTCCAAAGCAAAGTTCCCAAACCAAAACACCTACTTCAAGGTTTGCAACGTTCTTAATCCAAGTTGTTCCCCCGCTGCTATGGGAAGGCATGCCTTGGTTTAAGAACACTTTGGTTTAAGAACGGACTTCCGGAACGGATTAAGTTCGTAAACCAAGGTACCACTGTATATCATTCAAAACCGGTTCTGAAGTCCACATTATTATAGCATTTTCATAGTATGTGATGTGGCAATAAATCATGAATCATGGTGTGTGTGTGTGTGTGTGTGTGCTATGCAAAAATCATGATTTTGGAAAAACCGTGAAGCCAGTGCTTCTTTTGATTCCTGCGCAGTGCAGGCTCAGCTCTCCACTGCCATCTACTACTGTCTAAAATTTTAAAGTTGCCCCCAAGACTATATAGGACATTAATATCTTCTCCAGAAATCTTTAATTGTTTAGTTGAAGAATGCTATCATTGAGTTGCTTTTCATATATCATATACATCAAAATTAGATTTTTCTTTTTCTTGAATGTTTTCCCAGATTATATGTAACTCATCATCGCCGTTCTTTGAATTGTCCTGAATACCACCATTTGGTAGCCAAGCCCAAAACAAAAAGTGCCGTTTGGGTGCATTTTGGCTTGCCTGCTGATGAAAGTGACCGTGTGGTGGTTGATAATATCGCCATTTGTAAGATATGTTTGAATTCGGTATCTGCGAAAGGCGGAAACACCTCAAATCTAAGTAGCCACCTCAAGTTTCACCACCCACTGAAATTTAGGGAGTTGGCTTCTCCATCAAGAGACATTTCCGTTGATTCGTGTAATGAAGCTGATGATCCTCCAGTTGCAACAACGGTTAGTGCTGCAGAGCCTGCAGTAACGGTTGCAGAAAATCCTAAAAAACGGCTGAAAACAACATTGGATGTTCAGCCGCTCAGTTCAAAGGCACCGAAATCTTGTACTCAGGCAATCCTAGAGTATGTGGCTACGTGCATGCAGTCTTACGACACAGTGGACCACCCAAAATTTATCCAGATGGTTAACACTCTAAACCCAAGATATAAGTTGCCCAGCAGCAAATACTTTGCAACCAAAGGAGTTCCAAAACTGTACAATGACACCGTGGAGAAAATGAAGAGAGAAGTAAGCCGGATAAAGGATACTGAGCTGGTCATCACTACTGATTGCTGGACATCAGTAGCAGGCACTCAATTTTTGGCAGTGACTGTACATTTCATATCAGATGAGTGGAAGTTGACTAATGCTTTCTTGGGCTGTAAACATATTTTGAAGGACCACAACTCAGATAATCTTTGTGAAATGCTCACAGACACATTATCGGAATGGGGCATAGATGTAAAGAATATATTTTGCAGTACTACTGATAACGGTACAAATATTGTAAAAGTAGTTAGGCAGCTTGGTTTAGAGCACGTTTCCTGCTTTGCCCACAATATAACTGTTGGGGTTAACCGAGCTTTAAACTTGACACAGCTGAAAAAGGCAGTTACAAGACTGAAAAACCTGCAGAATAGCATTAGCCATAGTTGGAAAATGAGAAGAGACTTTGCCAGATCTCAAGAGATACTTCAGATGGAGAAAGTTAGTTTGCCGAGTGCTTGTCCCACAATATGGTGGAGCACATTTAAGCTCTGCCAAACGTTTCTTGAAAACAAAAGTGCATTAAGTGAGATGTTTCTGGGTTATCCCTCCAAAAACCATTTGATGTTGGAAGAGAGTGATATCTCTGCTATACAAGACTTTGTGTCTGCAACTACTGTGTTAGAGGACATCACCACGACTCTGAGCGGAAGCAATGATATCACTGCTTCATCTGTTCTGCCGCTTTATAGACAAATTAAGAAAAGTCTCCAGCCTGATGAGGGAGACAGTATGCTGCTGCAGGATATTAAACATGAAATTTTGGGTGCACTGTCAGAAAAGTATGAAAGTGCACCTATGACAACCACTTTAGGTTTAGCTTCGCTGTGTGACCCAAGGTTTCGCCTGCGGTTCTTGGAGACTCCTGAGGCTGTCAGGCAGGAGGCCATAAAGAAGATGGCAGACTTGCATGGCAGTCTGTGTGCTGCTTCTACGGAGCCCAGTACTCCGCCTCCTCAGCCAAAAAAAGGGTTGGCAAAAATTTTTGATTTAGAGGAGGAAGAGGAGGACCTGGCAGAAGAAGGATTAGCACCGTTGTCTGAATTGAAAGCAGAAAAAGAGCTCAGAAGCTATATGGCTATGCCAAGAGTGGACTTTGATGAATGCCCTCTGATGTGGTGGAAGGCACATGAGGCATCCTTCCCAATGTTGAAGGTGCTTGCAAAGAGGTTTCTGGCTATCCCAGGAACAAGTGTGCCGTGTGAAAGTGTTTTCAGCACAGCTGGCAGTGCTCTCCAAAGACAAAGGGCATCTCTATTGCCAGAGAATGCTGAAATGCAGATTTTCCTGGCCAAAAATGTAAATTTTGTTTAATACATTTTCCTTCTGTAAATTTTTATCTGTTCTTTCTAGTGTTGCCTGGCTTATAAAAGAAATGCAAGCTTTTCTGGCAAGATTTTGTAAATTTTGTTTAATAAAATGTTCTGTAAAATAAATTTTTGACATCTAATTGCAAGCATAAAAAAATTCTTTGCTCTGGATTCGGCTCCCCTGCAGATGCTGGTTGCAAATAGGAAGCACCCTAAGGAAATGAAGATCTGCGTGAAGGAACTTGCTTTCATCAGTGTTCAGAGACTGGTTCTCTTGGAATGCATCACGTGGGCTTGCCAGATCTGCCTGAGCATAACAGACCAGTCAAAAAGCAGAAGTGCCAAAAACAAACCCCTGTGTTGCAATGAGAACCAGTCACAGAAATATAGACCCAACACGTAGGCTAATAACTGTTAGAGCATATGTAATAGAATAATGAGATCATTCAGAAAGTAGAAATAAATCTATTAGTTCATATATACAGTGTAACAGACTAGTGGCACAGAACATTAAGCCATGTGTTCAAGATAGGAATCAAAGGTCAGTCACAATGGTTATTCAAAAGTTTCAACAGAAGACTTCTAAAAAGTAAAGTTTTCACAATAGTTTGTCAAAAGTTTCAACGGAAGATGTCCCAAAAGTCTCAAGGGGTGTTTCTGGAATGATACTGTTTCGTAATAGTCTTCATCAGCCAATATTTTTCACAAGAAGATGTAAGTAAGATTCACGCTATGGATCAGTGCTCACTATACTGGCTGATGACTATTAAGAAACAGTAGTATCAGTTCTTGAGACTTTTGGGACGTCTTCCATTGAAACTTTTGAAAAACTATTGAGAAAACTACTTTTGAGACGTCTTCTGTTGAAACCTTTGAATAACCATTGTGAAACTGACCTTTGACACCTATCTTGATTAAAAAGCAGAAGTGGGCAGAAGATGAGAAGAAAGCAGCTTGCTGAATCATAGAATCAGTGTTAGACGGGACCTCCGTGGTCATCTAGTCCAACTCCCTGCAATGCAGGTGGCCTGTATGCTGATCAAACCCACAAGCTTTCCGTTATCAGCACCATGCTCTAAACCCGGCATAGGCAAACTTGGCCCTCCGGATGTTTTTGAGACTACAATTCCCATCATCTCTGACCACCGGTTCTGTTAGCTAGGGATGATGGGAGTTGTAGTCCCAAAACAGCTGGTGGGCCGAGTTTGCCTATGCCTGCTCTAACCAAATAAGCTAATGCTTTATTATTACAAGGTAATGTATGCTTAGGACACATTTTATCAGAAAGGCTGTGCTTTTATAATATCTGACATTTTCAGAAGGTAAACTTAAAATCCTTTGGTTTTCCAGGAGCTTTTTAATCAAACGTATGTTTAGCAAGCTAAATGTTCTCCAGTCACAAAAATAAGAGCAGATTTGAATTTCTCTCATGCAAAAATATATATTTAAGAGCCTTTGGTGAAGAAGTTTGCAACAATATACTTTTTTTCCAACTCCCAACAATAGCTTATTAAAGAAACAGATTGTGTTTGCGCAATGTGCAGGGGCAAAGGTATTTTGCACAGAAAACATCTGCCTCTGAATAGGGTTTCTGGCTCTGGGTGTTTGGGGATTATCAAATCCTTCATCTCACACCACAGACACCAACTTAGCTGAACTTCTCACACTTTCATTTGATAAGGGGGGGACAGGTACCCCAACGGTATAGTATTTGCTTGAATGCGAAAGGCCCCACAGTCATGATTCCAGGTTGGGCTGAGTGTCTCCCCATTGGAACTCCTGGAGAGCTGTTTCGGGGGGGGGGTGAAATTTGTTTCCTTGGCTGTTGGTTCCATTATACAATATGCCTATTTGCCAACAGGAAAAATAACACTCAGATTTGTGCTAAGTGGCAGTTAAATGTCTGAGGCTTGTACTGATTCTTCTCTTCCACTCCCCCTCACCCCAGTTTGAATGATGGATGGCGAGAATGGTGTTTGGCACAAGATTCTTTGCAGATCGCCAGCTGAAAATCAGGGTGCAGGCAACAGATCTCTTGGGTTATAGTTTAGGCGGGGACGAAATCTCAGAAATTCTCACGCTGGGCAGGTTTTTAAATAAACGGCCATGTATGGTGATGGAGTGCAGCACTCTTAAATTGGTTGGAGACATTATTACTAGTTTAATGAAATACCTGCCATTCACCCAAAGGTCCCCTGGGAGGGTCACAAAAATACAAATTACAGTGATGAGAATAGGCTGGATCCTAAGAATAAAGGTAAAGGTACCCCTGCCCGTACGGGCCAGTCTTGCCAGACTCTAGGGTTGTGTGCTCATCTCACTCTATAGGCCGGGAGCCAGCGCTGTCCGCAGACACTTCCGGGTCACGTGGCCAGCGTGACAAGCTGCATCTGGCGAGCCAGCGCAACACACGGAACGCCGTTTACCTTCCCGCTGGTAAGCGGTCCCTATTTATCTACTTGCACCCAAGGGTGCTTTCGAACTGCTAGGTTGGCAGGCGCTGGGACCGAACGACGGGAGCGCACCCCGCCACGGGGATTCGAACCGCCGACCATGCGATCGGCAAGTCCTAGGTGCTGAGGTTTTACCCACAGCGCCACCCGCGTCCCTAAGAATATAAATCTAAATTTTGTAAAATATTAATAAATATCTTTAAAAAAAAAATATAAATCTCGAGTGTCAAAACGCCATGGTAAAGAGGTGCCCCTTCACACGATGAAAGCATTACTCAAGTGTAGGTACCAGGTGCATCTTTGTGAAAAGGGAATTCCAAAACTTTGTCACCTGGAAGCTGCCCCTGCAGATGCCACACATTAGGTTCTTTGGGTGGTGGAACTACCAGGACTTACACCCAAAGGTCTTTTAGGTTCTTTCAGATCAGCAAAGCGGAAAATGCAAGTTCTTGTAGGGGGAGTTTTGGCTTTACTTTCCTAAGGCTTTTGAGACCGGAAAACGACGTTTTAAAAAAGTCTTTTATTAGGAATATTGAGGTGGGGGGAGATAGAGAGAGAGAAAGCTATAAAGAAGAGGCAGCATTTTCTTACTACATTAATAACACTGTTTGGGAACTGGACAGGCCTCTCTTGCTAGGTGGCAGTAACAGCCAGTCTATGTAGGAGGCAGACCCAAGTCCCTGCAAAGAGGCAGCGTTTTTGAGTCCATGCTTCTCTTGCAAAGTGGAGACCGCGGAAGCCAAGCTGCAGAATTCTGCAAAGGAGTGTTTGGATCGAGAGCCAGCAGCAGGCAGCCCCGTTGCTTTCCTATGGTACAGGATGGGGGGAAAATGAAACTGGCCCAATTCACATACTATGTGGCTGGTTTCCTCTGCGATGAGGTGACCCTTGAAGCTTTTAGGAGAGCTGTGAGCATGCAAACCGGCTCTGAGGCAAGGTGGTCTTCCTTAGGAAACTTGTAGTAGCTCGGAAATAATAAGGAGGGGAAAGGAATCCAGCCTAGGGCCTTTGTTTCTGAATAAACCTTTTAAGTAAAAGAAAATGAGCAGCGTACACACACACACAAAACTCCCACAGTACCAAAGAAAGCATGATAACTTAGTATTTATAAATAAATATACATATATATAGCACTTTGAGTGTACAAAGCACTTCATATACATTCTCAATTATCCTTACAACGGTAATGTAAGGTGTTGGGTTATTCCTGTACTGTCAAGGGCTGGTGTTGTGCCAAAGATCTGGGGCTAGGTTGTGAGATTTTGCTTATGGCTATTGAGTCAGGGACTTTTCACCTTGTGCTCTCGGCCACGAAGCTACGCTACCTCCCTTTTCTTGACGCCAACGGGAGGTGGAAGCCAGGGAGGGCTGCAGGCAGAAGCGGGCAAGGTGGTTTCTCAGCAGCTTCCCTTGCAACAAAGAGCAGCAAAGCCCCCTTCCTGGAGACCCCACAAACCCCCATGGGCATCGCACTTGCCTGCTTGCTCCTATGGGGGGGAAGCAAAGCGCTGCATTTTCAAACCCCTGCCGTAAAAAGAAAGCCAGGCAGCACCACCATCAAAGTAGCTGAGAGGGCAAGCGTTTTTTGTATACGACGTTGCAGCTGTTTGAAAAAGACCCTCTTGTATCCAAGAGCAACCGTGAGAGACACAGCAAGGGAGTTAAACAGTACCGAGTGGTGGGAGACAAATTGCACTTTAAAAATAGTTACTTCAAAGATACAAAACCAGTTAGCTTTGTGTAATAACCTACCTCCACAAAAAGAAGCCAAAGTGTTTGCGCTCAGGAATGAGCCAGTCACACTCCCAGGGGTCAAGTGACCCAAGAAGAAAACATGGGATTTTTTCCTTCCTCCCTACATGTTGCAGACAGCAGCAAGTTCCCCTCCCTTTCTCGGTGTTAAGAACAGCGCAGGATTTAGGGAGGTGTGAGCAGTCCCCCCTGCATGGGGTGTGCAGAGCCAAGGGAGCGCAAAAGAAGAATGATACTAAAACTTACTTATAAGGGTACCTACTCAGAGTTAAGGGGTGCCAAATTCTGTCCCTGCTCTGGGTGCTATATTACATATGCAGAGCACGTATCGCAGCGTCAGCGGAGTTTGAAAAATAATAATAAAGAACTTAAAAGGGTTGGAAGTACCAGGCCTGGGCACTTGCTGAAGCTGCAACAATAACGTGGAGCACAATTCCAAAAAGGTTGCTGCCAACAGGGAAAAGCTTAACATCAAAGGGGGTACGGAATGCCATCCCCTAGGAAAATGTCCTACGTGCGCACCTCCAAAATGCACAGGAGTTGCATGTCCATTCACACAAACCACACACCCCGTTCGTTTTAGTGGCACCTGTGCTTGAAGGCTGCCAAAGATCCTTCACTCGCTGCCACAATTCCTGTTAATTATCAACTACCTTCTTCCCCAACAGATCTATTATTTTTGGCCTCTTAGCTGTGTCTGGCTTCCTGGAAAGAAGCCACCCAGGCCCTCCTCCGCCCCCCGCGCTCCCACATGTCCAATTTCACCTGGACAAACACACAGACACGAAGAAGGAATCATGTAGTGGCATAGACAGATGCAGCAGGGGACGTGGGACGCTGGTTGCGAGTCTTTGTACAAAGGGCGGAACCTCAAATGGGCCAGGCGGGTTCTAGGACCTGCAGCAGCCGGCGCCTTTCACCTCCTTCTTGACGTA